CAATATTGATATATATATATATATATATATATATATATATATATATATATAAAAGAACAGTAAGATATAATCCGGTGTTCTTATAGATATTTTTATTTTTCAAAATAGTCATCCGGCCTGACGAATTGCATCCATTGATTTAAAATATGTTTTTCGCCTCTAAGTGTTTTTTGAAACATGGTTAATGTGTAGCGGGAAAAACATATTTTTTATATTTATATTTATATATATACGCACTGTCTCTGTTTTCATTGACGCAACTTCAGCCGGCCTTATCTTGCATCCAATGAACAGCCTGTCGCCTTAAAACTATATTTATTTACATACGATATATATATATATATATATATATATATATAAATATATATATATATATATATATATATATATAGAGAGAGAGAGATGTATATCAGTGTGTGTATGCATGCGGGATGGGATGAGATGAGATCAGAGATTCTGTAGTCAGAATGGTAGTTATTAGCTTGATTTTAATCAGAAAATTTCACTGTATTAAGTCCATTAAGAACGAAGGGTTTTTCCTGTCCGGAATAGACGGGCCTGACCGATTTTTTAAAATCTTGGCTATTTTTTTAAACTCTACCCAAGTCCAGGCCTTCGTTGATTTTATTTTTAAACCAGACTATTTACTATAACCTCCATCTCACTTTCATTTTTCCAAAAACTAATTTGTTTTTATCGAATTATTTTCAATATAAACTTCTATTTTGAACTTATATACATAGCCGCACACACACACATATATATATATTAAAGACATTTTTATGTTTAACATTCTTTTTATAGATACAAGTATTTAAGTAAATGCTCTGTTTATAAAAAAACAGTATTAAATAACATTTACCGGCCTGAATGTCCGAGAAATTTTCATAGAAAATATTCGTCCTTTCGACAGGATTCGAACCTGCATCCTATACGGAACCGTCATTTACGCTGACGTGCCTTAACCGACTCGGCCACAAAGGAGCGTTCGGTAGACAAGGTCAAAGGACAAATATATTCTATGAAAATTTCTCGGACATTCAGGCCGGTAAATGTTATTTAATACTGTTTATTATAAACAGAGCATTTACTTAAATACTTGTATCTATAAAAAAGAATGTTAAACATAAAAATGTCTTTAATAAATTGTCGGACTTTGTCCAATTATTAATATATATATATATATATATATATATATATATATATATATATATATATATATATATATATATATATTCCGATGCAGATCAAACGAGAATAAGAAAGAATGAAGGATAAACCTGTACAAGAATGACAAAAAGAAATTAACCAAGAATAATGTAAGGCAATCTCTAAAATTCTCCAAAATAGAAATCCCCTGGATGTGACGAGGTTGTAACCTTTTGGTTTTATTATCTGTCATCAGTCCATGAAACTCTTGCGCAAAATTTATCAATGCAAATTAATAACCCCAATGCAATTACAGAATGGATCACTGAATGTATTACATATCACCTACAAAAAACAGCTGAAACAGGTAATCAAAAAAAAAAAATTACTTGCGAATAACATATCTAATTACCATATATAAATTAATCACGTCTGTCCTGGAGAACTGTACTTAAACTTTTCTCGATAAAAACAGCATTCTTCCTCTGGAACAGAAAGGATGTCCAAGAGGTGCACATGGTTGCAAAAAGATCAACTACTGACAAACAAAAAAGATCCAGGAAAATTGCAGGATAAATGTATAGGTCTCAGTACATCTTGAATAGATTACCGTAAAATGTTTTGGTAGTGTTTAAGACTCTTCGATATTTAAGGATTTGAAAATGTAAAAAGTTTTCTCGGTGATATTAAATTTTTGTTAAATATAGCATGGGACGGTGGAAAACCACATTATATATTGTTGTGGTTATCCACCTAATTTACATAGTGGAGTACCGACCATATAAATATGGTTGGTACCGGGAAGACGGGGGAGGAAGAAAAGATCCAATCCAGAACTCTGCCCGATTGCGACTAATGTCAACCCATTCTACAGGAAACGGTCTTCCCAAGAATATACCAAACTATCTGTAAATATTGTGTACATGTTCTTGTGTCAATACATTTTGTTTAAATTACATTTTGTGTTGTATTATTATTATTCCATGCTTTATTCAAGTTTTCAACAATATATAAATCCCACCAATATTACCCTTCACTTTCAATTGATTGAATATCCGACGAAGAATATTTCCAAGAGTTTTCCTGTCGCCCCTTCTGTTGTATGTTCTTAATCCCCTTTCGCATGAACAAAACGTTAATAACTATGAATAGAAAGTAATAAAGAAAGTGGTTACTTGCCTATTCTACGTGGATGATATCAAACTCTTTGCTAAAGACGATAATGAGTTCAAGGGTAATACTGTAAAATGTTCAGTGATGACATCTGTATGGATTTCGGATTAGCTAAATTTGCATGAAACGGATAATTACTGAAACACATTCATTTAATCTAGATTTTGTTACAAAGACTGGGAAATTGGAACAAGAAGAAGCCTATAAATACCACGGTGCGAAGGAGATGGAATACAGCATGACCAAATGAAGGAGAAAGTAAGAAAAGAATACTACAGGCGTGTGTATCTGGTATTAAATACCGAGCTGAATTCACAAAACAGAATATCAGCCATAAACAACTTGGTTGTTCCTGTGGTGCATACAGTTTCAACATCCTTCATTGGACCATAATTGAGATTAAGCAAATGAAGGTCAAATGGAGAAAGCTTCTTGCTTCCTACCACATGTATCATCCTAAGCCTGATGATGATCGTTTGTATGTCCAGATCCGAAGGAGGCAGAGGATTAGTTCAACTAGAACTGTCTTACAAAACCACAACAATCAGTGTTCAGAGATACCTAGAAACTAAAAAAGACTAGGTGATGATCTGTGTCACAGAACATGAAAGAAATAAGAAAATATATTGAGTAATAAGGGAGGCAAAATAATTCAAAAGATAATTTCAAGTGGGTGAAGATGTGCAAACAAAACGTACCTGTCCACTAATTGATATGTCTTTCCACACAGGATTCTTATATTTGTAAAAAAAAAAAAAAAAAAAACAACACAATTTCAAAACTGTCATATTAAAAGAACCTGTAAATTGAAGCAACAGAATTTTGTAAACTTATAACTATAAGTATCCCTGTTGGTATAGGGGCATTGGGTATGCTAAAGAAGGGTACCGAAAAACATGTGATTAAAACTGATGGACACATCAGCATCTCAGAGCTACAAAAGATTACTTTGTCTGGATCTGCACATATCATCCAGACGCCAGATCTCTCCAACCCACGTCTCAAATAGCATAGATAACTCTCCTTCTGTGCCCTTTTTACCCAGAGATCCCGGAGGGGACTTTGTAATTAGGTTCCCAAACTAATATCTGGCCGGATGATACTACTTATACTCTTCATCCTCCTCTTCCTCCTCCTCTTCCTCCTCCTCTTACTACTACTACTAATAATAAGAAGTAGAAACAGAAGAAACATCTTTAAAGCAAATATGCCGAATAAGCTTAATTTAAGGCTTGGAAAATTATTGTATTAAACAGCATATATAAATAAATGTGCAATAATATTAATAATAATAATTAATTAATTAATAATACTCATAATGTGTCCATTAGAGAAACAAAGCATACAGCTATATCACTTTGGAAAAATAATCCTTGTTGAAAGTGAAAAAACGTGGGATTGGTCAGTATCTCGATGGGTAACTGCATGGTAGTAGCAGGGGTTGTAAGGTTGGAAGTGCGGTTGGTGTGATGGATAACAGCTCGGAATGAGAAATCAAAGAGCAGAGTTCGAATTAAAGACGAGTTCGTTACAGGCACTTACACCCAAATACCATTGTTAAAGCTTTAAATTCCATCTTTTCTCCCCGACCTCAAGTTGTGAATTAAATAGCAGAGCAAACTAGAATGTTTAGTCTTCGCTGGCAACAATTTTACCGCGTAACGTAACGGCTGACTGCAGCAGTAATTCTTTTAGCGGTAAAAAATAACATTGAAGAAAAGAGACATATTTGGCGAAGCATGTATCGTTTCTAAAGAAGAAGACAATATATATATATATATATATATATATATATATATATATATATATATATATATTGTGTGTATTTAGGCAGCATCTTTTCATTTAAAAACATTTGAGCAATATATATATGTCCGTATATTGCTTAATATGTTGTAATTGATATCTTTGATAATGGCTCATGTAAGCCGAAAGCTTAGATTGTATTAAAAAATATGGATCAATATTGTGAATTTCTTTCTTTGTTCAATGATAATGTTATTAAACTTATTAGGCGTTACGAAAAGAATTTACATGAAATAAATACACAACACTTGTCTATATTATTTTAATGAAACGTGTTTGAATATATATATATATATATATATATATATATATATATATATATATATATATATATATAAAAAATATATGGATATAGATCCGACACTATGAAAAAAATATATAAAAAAACAAACAAAAATATATACAATTATTTTTAATGTTAATATGTCAACGTCGGACGTTTCAATCCTGTAAACCATCTTCAGGACATATTCATAAATTATAACATTATCAATTGTCATGTTGATGGTTTAATGTTATAATTTAAATATCCGACTAATATTAATTAACATTAAAACATATTAAATAAATATAAACATTATGTTTGTTTTTTCCATATATTTTTTCTTCTATATATATATATATATAATTCAGTCCCTCATAATTAGTGCAATTAGACTTCACTGTACAGATTAAGGCCACAGCCCAACCACACTATGTTCTGATATGGTCTTTAAAGGGAGTAGTTTTTTTACGGCCAAATAGTTTTGAATTCAGCTTTGTCTTTCTCCAAGAACGTTTGCCAAACAATGCTAGAGAACACGCACGATTCACTGAATTGGAATACGAAATGGGCGAGCAGTAATTATTTTCGAACCGGTAATAGTCATGCAATGCCCACATCCGCTTGCGATCCGACAATCGCCAGTAAATCACACACTGTATATTACCTGGCTACCTTGTTCCTTCAGACGCCGCAAATCAAAGGGTAACAGTTTTCTTCCACTCAGATCGATCTTGGGCAAGTGGCAGGGCCTTGAAAAAGGTGATGTTTATTTTTCTTAGTTTTCTTTTACTGTAGTGCGCCATGTCGTTTTAGGATGACAGCGTGGACTTTTGCAGCAATGAGGTATCCAGTTTAGAGCAATATTGGCTGGCCGACTGTCAGGTAGTCACAAGATATGGCCGGTGAATTGTATTCGCCCCTCTTCTACAATTAGACCAAAGTTTATAGAATTTGGTTGTCTTAGAATTTCTTCAGTCGTCTCTGTCCAAGATACCTTTAAGAATCTACAAAGGCATCGGTAAAAGAAGACATCTAATAGATGGAGAAATTTGCGGTGAATTTTAATCATTCTAAAGCATATAATGCAATCGAGAGGACAATAGAGTTCAGTAATTTGCACTTCACTCGAGGACTAATCCTATTTGAAGACCATGCGTTTAGCTTTTCCAGTACAATATTTAATTTCTTTACGACAAGAGAATTAGATTTATTGTTTTTAAAGTAAACGAAGTTATTAACTTCCTCAATGTAGTGTCCTAACTCTATGATATAACCATTTTCTAAGATTCTAGTGTTTTGTATTTGGTATTATTTTGGATCATATCCTTAATTAAAAATTAGATCTAACTGTCTTCAATATTGTTGCAGCATAACTACGGAAGATAATGGTTATGTCCCCATTCACATAAATACAGTAGTAAATACTGTATGTTGGTCTGTAGTTGGATATTCGTCTCCAGCTGGGCTGTTAAAACTCTCTTCCTTCGAGTAGACAGGATCCCCAGGCGCGTCTATGTCGAAGGGCAGAGTCTCGTCTCGGGAAACAGCTACCCGACTCCGTTTTATACGGGATATACGAGGAATTTTTAACCAAGCCTACAGGCTCGGATACCCCACATTAAATTCAGGCTTGAACCACATCTGACCGCGTGGAGCGGTTGGCAGGTATCCTGAATTTGGGGATTCGTCTCCAGCTTGTCTGCTCAAACTCTCTGCCTCCGGGTAGAGAGGATCCCCAGGCGAGTCTATGTCGAATTGTAGAGTCTCGTCTTGGGAAACAGCTACCCGACCCCGTTTTATACGGTATCTACGAGGAATTTCTGGCCACACATTAAATTAGTCCTTGTGCCACATCTGACCGCATGGGACGGTTGGTACTTATCCTACAATTAGAGATTCATTTTTGAATTCACTTGCCTCACTTCTAGCAGTTGAATATTTCTACACGCCGCTGGCGAATCTTATATGTGTTGTTCTTGTCCTGAGTATTATCGTACATTTCCAACCTTCGGTTGATTATTCAGTAACTTTTCCCTAGGTTAAAACAAATATGCTTGCCATATCTTAAATTTCTCTCGCATTTATGAACAAATGAATCTAAATTGTTGAAAAATGTCCCGATCAGATAATCTCTTTTTCTGCCAAAATATACCAAACTGCGTTTTCGGCACGGATAATATTATAGAATCCATAACAACGAGAAATGAAAAATGGCGATAGTACACCCTTGTGCAATTTATTTGGAACAAAATGAATAATTCCATTATTATTTACATTTTTCCTATTTTTCCAGTGAAACATGACCCTTGCAAATTGACCACAGATTCTCAATTAGATTTAAATCGGGAAAGTTCCGGGCTAGTCTATAGTATTTTGATTTGCTCACTGCTAAGTCATGCCAGTGTATTCGTGCAGCATTACAATTTTTGTACGTTTCCTTCCATCGTAGACAATGGCTATAGGAAAACTAATCGACAGTCGAGACGATAGTGTCTGGGCGTGATAAAAATCTGATGTAATCAAGGATGACGTAATATTTTTCAAGTTCAATCAAATTCCAACATACGCCCCGAAAAGACATTCACATTACTGCACACAACTGCAAATGACCTAATCTGAGGAAAAATAGAAATCGATTACACCCTGTCATTCCAGAGCGGTCTAAAGCTGACAGTATCGTGAAAGAAAGGAAACTAAAACGGTTGTTTCTATTTATTTGCCCAAAAAGTGCATGTCACCCTTTAGCAGTTGAGTTTTAACTTCAAAATCTGTTATTCCGTCTACTGTTTTGATACAACATCGGGAATTGGTATAAAGCTCTTGGAAAATATCTGTGAATTTTTGTTGAGTGCCATAAATCTAACAAAATACACTGGAGGAGATATGTTTGCATTATATTGTGCCAGGCTCACCACGCCCGTCCGTAAAAAGTCAGATAATCCTGGAATATGGAAAAATGCAGAAAACTTTCAGCAAAGTTCATCATCACCAGTAACAACGATCAATAGATACTCTTTACTTCGTTCCGTTATTAAGCGAGTGGACATCGGAGGTAGATCAATCGATAGCTTGTCTTTAAAAGTCATATATATATTTCATGTATACTAAGCAAGAAGTCGATGCAACTGAGTCGATTTTTGGTGGATACAGACGGACTGTGAATCCCCGTCTGACACTGAAGTTTCTTCGTAAATAATATGGAACCTGATTTAGAAAATGTTTCAGACTTGTCTTGAAGAATTGGCTTTGGCACATATCGCGAAATATTTACAATTCTTATTCCTCGACGAAATAATATTAATATCTTTCAGTTTCTTTTGTAGATAAATAGAAAGGTATGTGAATGTGTGTTTGCACTTCATTATTCTATGATATAAATATAGTATCTATCTATCTATCTATCTATCTATCTATCTATCATGCTGTCTTGATTATCTATCACACACTCTTGATTATCTATCTATCTATCTATCTATCTATCTATCTATCTATCTATCTATCTATCACGCTCTTTTGATATCTTTCTATCTATCTATCTATCTATCTATCTATCTATCTATCTATCTATCTCAGTCTATTCATATCTATCTATCTATCTATCTATCTATCTATCTATCATGCTCTCTTGATTATCTATCTATCTATCTATCTATCTCAGTCTATTCATCTATTCATCATCTATCTATCTGATATCTATCTATCTCTCATCTACCTATCTCAGTCTATTCATATCTATCTATCTATCTATCTCATCTATTCATATCTATCTATCATCTCTTGATAACTATCTATCTCTCATCTTGGATTATCTATTCATATCTATCTATCTATCTATCTATCTATCTATCTATCTCAGCCTCTTTGATTGTCATCTCTCTATCTATCTCAGCCTGATAACTATCTATCTGTCACACTCTCTTGATAACTATCTATCTGTCACACTCTCTTGATATCTATCTATCATGCATATATTTAATATGTGCGATAAGGATAGGATGAACAAGCGCTAAATGCAGCAATATTATTTTTTACTTTTAATTATTTCACCCAAAGCAAGGGGATAATGCCACTAAGACTAATTGAGTTACTGAGAATGGAAGATAATGAGAAGACTTTAGGGAGAAGTAAGGGTAATAGGAGAACACAGAAAACAGAAGGTCGCAATTGATGTTTCATTTAAATTTTTGAAGATTATAGATGACAGGGAAGTCAGAAATCCGACGAGAGTTCCACATGTGAGAAGTGAGAGGAAAGAAACTATGAGAATAGAACTTACGGTTACATTTCAAAAGTAAAACAATACGACCTAGTAGTACCCTTAAATCCATTTGGTCGAAGTACCAAGGCAGGGGTAACATTACAATAACAACTATGAAAATATTTATAGAAAAGACAGAGGGAGGTCACATGGCGATGTTGAAAGTGACTGAAGTCGAGAAATAAGGTCCTCAGTAACAAAATTATGTATCTTTTTTTTGATCATTTTTTGGATTTAGTCGATAGCTTTGAGACATATAGCCGGAGCAACAGACCAGATTCTAAAATACTATTAAAACCACAATACAATTTCTTAAATAGCCTAGTAAAATCTAGACTATGATAAGTGATATAATGAAATATGCGTACACCTATGTTCCCCCCTCACTGGAATATGATTGGCTGGTGTCCGTCATAAATATCGACGGACGTGTAGGAGAGTCAGAAAACAGTATTAGTCTGAGAGCTAAGTCTATAACGATACCCATTGGACTACGCCATTGATCTACACTTATTACCTGCGACTACGACGCGTACCAGTCGATTACTACTACCATATTCTACTTGGGTATAGTAGCCAAAACCACTTAGCTACTTCGTTCAAATATATCCCTTTCCTGGACATATAAATAAGCATCTGATGTATGATATCCAACCAGTTCAGAAATGTCTAAATTATCAACAAAAATACAACCATTTGCTGAGATCAGTGATTAAAATCGTTTCAAGTGAAAGAATTCTGTAAAAAACCCCACTCGTCATCAAACAATTATGCAAAATGAGAACTACTTGCAAATATAAAGACATCAAACAATTTTGGATTCCTAGCCACATCGGAGTGGAAGGTAACAATAAAGCAAATATAGGAGCCAAATTAGCTTTAGATATGGATGGAGACTCAAGGACCAAAATCCCATACGTTAAGTAGGTCATTAACAGATATATACAAAAGAAATGACAACGGTGCTGGGATGATAACCCACAGAATAAACTCTTCGAAATTCTGTCCAAAATAGGAGAATGAAAGTCGGCTTTCAGAAAATCTCGAAAGGAAGAAGTAATATTTGCCCACTTACACATTGGCCTCACGAGAATAACTCACTTGCACTCGCTAAACAACGAAGGTCAGCCAGTGTGCCAAGCATGTGAAACGATATACGCTATTACATATATATTAACCAAGTGTTTAGACCTTGCTATCTCAAGACAAAACTGCTATAATATAAACAGCATTTATGAGCTCTTTGAGAAAGCAAAAGTAGATGATGTAATATAATACAAAAATAATATAAATCAAATGAGAATGGGAATAAAATTAATTTCTCCACAAACTGTATATCCGAAAATGCATCAATGAAAACAGATTCTCGAGAAAAATCATCTCTACAAAATACGCCAATAAAACGTGATCTACAAACTGACATCTTACAGAGAATATATATATTCGAATCATCCCAATCAATTGTAAAAAATGTCGACATTAAATAATGATATGTCGTAAAACAAAACAAAATAAACTAAACCACCAATGAATTCTGTATGTTTTAAAGACGACAATCCTTCAAATCATGTAGACTAAATCTGCGCAGTCACATACGCACAAAACTTTCATGACGAGTCTCGTAACATATTGGGTTCTTATGCGCACCGCATGTATTGCAGCCTTTGTAGCATTGGCGTGTCTTGGGAATAAAGAAGCTCAATTCACCCCAGGCCTGTTTTAACTTTAGAATTTACCTTCTTCTAGACTATTCGCGAACCAACGGTCTAGGACCCAGTCTGGAAGTAGAGAAGAGGCAGATCTATACCTTTCTCAAGGGTATTAACGCGTAAGTGAATGTGCTGGATTGAAATGAACTGTAATGAATACTATTGGAATTCGAATTCTTTTTTTTTCGATTCTCCAACACGAGTCTTTGTCGTTTACTCCAGCAAATAACTTTACCAAATAATAAAAACGAATCACATGTAGACTAAAGAAAACACCAAGGCATAAAATGAATAGCACATGTAACTAAAAGTGAAAAATAGTCAGCAAAATGATGACTTTCCACCATATCATAAGCAAAAGGTTCGGAAGGAAACATCCATTAAGATTAGAAATATAAATAAAAGATTATTTTGCTAAATATATTTTAAGATAACGATTTTATAAATTCAATGCTAGAAAGATAAATAAAAGAATATTTTCCTAAATATATTTTAAGAGAACCATTTTATAAATTCCAAACGACTGTCAGACCATTAAAGAGCTTAATGCTTCTTAGATTGAAACGACTATTCTAATCTATCAAATTAACATCTGCTGAACCGAGGTTACGCCGTTCCGGGTCTTCCTACAACCGTTCGACCTGCTGTAACGTCGGATAAGTTTGTTGCATTAAGTTAGGCGGAAATACCCTTGCCAAAGGTATTAATTCGCCCAGCTATTGGTTAATTAGAAAGGCTTGAATCAGTTAATCATTATTGTCTCCAATAAATTATTACATTCAAAAATTATGTTCGGGTTTAAATAACCGAGAAGAGGTGTATAAGTCATAAAAACAAATCAATCAATCAATCAAAACATATACACACACTTATATATATATATATATATATATATATATATATATATATATATAAGTGTGTGTGTATGTGTATGTATAACGAATGCACGGCCGCAATTTTCGACGGATTTGCACCAAAATTTACATGCACATCCTCCAAGTTAGCGGGAAGCTCAAGATCGACATTGCTGTTCCCAACTCCCATCGATAGTGAAAATGAACGATTTTTTTCATGCTTCTACGGCAGTTTTCATGTAGTTTGCGGCCATTTTCTACTGGCCAGAGTGAGAGCCTATAGCTGGCTGCCACGAATAAGTAGGAAGATTCTATTGGCCAGCGTGAGAGCCAACACCTGACTAATAGGAATGTTAACTAGCATGCCCATCATGCAAAAAAAATCGATATCCGCATTCGTCACGAGTGGGAAAAATTTAAATCTTCATGGCACTTTACTCCAGTTGGCTCATTCACTTGCTTAAACTCAACGTTGATTCTGATTCTGCAGAACTGGATTGGGTGTGAAAAAGTATTTGTTGTTAACATTCTTTTTAATTCGGTTTTTCCAGTTACGAATCCTTTTTTAAAGCTGATCGTTTTGTGTTCATTTTGTTTAGTTCTTTTTTCGTAACAGATTTAATGTTTAGTATAGAGCTTATAAAAAATTCGCAGTGTGAGATAGGCAAGAAGTAAGGCATGTAGCAACATCAGCACGGAAAATGGCACTCCTTTGAAGGCAAGGAAGAGCAAAAATATTTTAAGTCAAGTGATAGCGATTGCTGTATGAGTTGTACGATTTTTGAATCAAACACAGGCAACGCCGGGCCATGCTGCTAGATATATATATATATATATATATATATATATATATATGTGTGTGTGTGTGTGTCTGTAAGTATATTGTGCGATGGGTAAATTGTCGTCAAATTATATTTTTAATTTCACGCATGCGTGATTTGTTTTTGATTTTGTCAGCTGCACAGTATAGAAGGGTCAGTTTAGTACAGTCTGTGAGAAAAAGAGCACCATGACACAATTCACTCCGCCAGAAATTTGGAAACGACATAATGTACTTCTGTGCATTCGTGCTGAAAACTCAAGCGTGAATATTTCAGAGTGGTTCTGTGTAATCTGAGGAGAGTTAAGAGGATTCGGAAATGGTTGGATGAATTTAATGGTGATTACGAAGGTACTGCAGCTTGTGAAATCTCTCTGATAAGGAAGGAACTCCCGAATCTGTTGGTGAGGGCGACAGTCTCAACACGGAGGTCCAAATCAAGTGATGTCAGGAAACAGGACGCTGTACTATGCCACACAAGAAAGAGAACCCAGTCATGGCTATCAGGAAATTTCTGCGACCATATCACCATTTACATCTGGACACCTAACTCCCCAGACTGCAACCCCTTTGATTATTATGTGTGAGGCGCAGTCGAGCGAAAGACCAAGAAAACTCCTTGTAGCACCAAAGATAAACTGAAGACAAGGATTATGGCAGCATTCACCAACTTAAACAAGAAAAGCATCCACAAAAGTTTCCGAAGATTTTGAAATGGTCTGGAGGTAGTGGTTGAAACCTATAGCGAATCTATTGATTGCGCATTCGCATTTTATTAAATCTTGTGCATTTTTTGGTAAATATTACTGTTAAATTGAGATCACAGTGTTATTGAGACGACAATTTAACCATCGCACCCTGCTTATACAAATAGTAAAGAATAAGGCTAAAGCTTAAAAAATACTAAAAGCATAATCATTGCCATTTCATGAAACTCTGTAGCGGATCTGATACATTATTTTAATTATTATTATAATTATTGTTGTGGTAGGATCCACCTAATTTGCATAGTGGAGTACCGACCATTATAAATATGGTTGGTACCGGGAAGAGAGGGAGGAATCAAGAGATTCAACCAGAGACTCTGCCCGACTCAGTCAACACATTCTCCAGGAACGGTCTTACCAGGAATATACAAAAGACTATATGTAAATATTGTGTACACTTTCTTGTTTGAATACATTTTGTTCTAAGTACATTTTGTGTTGCATTATTATTGCATGCATTAGTCAAGTTTCAACAATTATATATTCGACTCTTCTGTCGTATTCGAAGTATGAGAGTTAAGCAGCCCAATTCCTCTGGGAAG